GTGGCGCCCCTTCTGCCCCTGGGGGTGCTCCTGCCCGGCCCAGCCTGGCCGCACCGCGCAGCACCCCTCCTGCACCTGGGGCCTCATCCTTGGCCCCACCCGGCCCAGCAGCACCGCGTGATGCCCCTTAAAGTGAGGTTCCCCAGGCTAGGTCCCAGCTGGCCTGTAGTTTGGGCTGGCTTTGATTCCAGCCCGGCAAGCTGGAAGGCAGAAGCCAGCTTAGCCTAAGGAAAGGGAAAAGGAAAGGGAGATGGGGGGAAATAGGCAGGGATGGGAGAGGAAGAGGCCTGTGCTGAGGAGAGGGGGGCAGGTCAGGATAAGAAATGGGAAAGGGTGGAGGAGACAAATGCCAGGGGGCCAAGGCGAGACAATGAGGAAAAGGGCAGGAGGGGAGGTGTCAGTGGGAGGGGGGACAGGGTGATGCTGGGAGAGGAGAGGGGAAGGGCATTGGGAGGTAAAGGGGGGAGGAGGAGGTGCTGGGAAAGGCTTGAAAGAAGGGGTGGGCATGAGGAAGGCAGGGATGGAGCAAGCCGTGTAAGGGCACAGAGGGGCATGAGGGGAACGGGAGCAGAGGGTGGTGAGGGGATGGGCATCAGGGAAAAAGAGGGCAAAGGGGGAAGAGGCAGTGAGGGAAGGGGGAGCACCAGGAGGGTACAGGGCTAAGGGAAGTTGCAGATGCCAGGGGATTCTGGGGGTGAAGCAGAAGGGCAGATACCTGCAGGAGAGGGACCAGCACCAGAGGAGAGAAGCAGGGCAGGTGTGTAGAGGGAGGTGTTAGGAGAGGGGATGAGGAGGGGTAGCTCACATGATCAGAGTGGGGCTATTGGAGGAGTGGGCACGGGGGGAGAGAAGGGCTGGTGGAGGGGGGCTGGTCTCAGGAAGGCTGAGGACAGTGAGAAGGGCAGGAGTCAGGAGAGCAGAGGAGGGTGAGGGGTTGGGGGGCAGCAGGCACGAGAGGAGCTGATGGAGCAAGGAGAGATTTGGCAGCAGAAGGAAAAGGTAGCGGTTTATAAGATATTTATTAATAACAGTGGCACATCCAAACAAGCCACATGAACTCAGTACCGGTGCACAACACAAAATTCATTCTGCTCATGGGAGGAAACTCTTAGAGGGAATACTTCCCCCAGCCTCTCTTCCCCTGAGTTAATGAGTCACACATTGAGTTAATGCAACTGCAGGATAATTGCATAAGGGGGGATTGGTGGGGGCCAAACTAATTCCTATTGGTAGGAGGATAGTGGGAAAAGTCCTTAGAGGGGGGTCACGGGACACCTTTTATTTCTGGTCATGTGTCCATCTTGGCCCGAGAGTGTTACCTCTAGAGCTGTGACCAATGGGAGATGGGGTGTGGCCAATGGGGGTCATGAGCATGGTTAACAAGGGGTCAGGGCTATGGCTAATGCGGGTCAAAGTACATTTTTAAAAAGTTCTTCAGGTGTACACCCTAATGAAATGTGCTGTGCACGCCTATGAATGGGATGTGTGTGGAATTCAATTGTTGCATATCAGATGAAAGGGGAGGAGTATGATGACAGGACAGTTATACTCATGCATGACTACAAGGAGGCAGCAAACACTGAAACAGGAATGATATGGGGACATCAAGTGCTCCAGTGAGCAGCCGCTGGCCCCAGGGAGAAGCCAGTGGGTAGGGTGTGCTGCCCCTCCCCACACTGCCCCCAGGGAGAAGCCTGTGTATGGGGTGTGTGGCCACTCCCATCCTCTGTCCTGAATCCCCCACCCTCTGATCTGAGCCTATCCTCACCCCTCAACCCTGATTCCTGAACCTCCAATGCCACTGGTTCCTGCTCTGAAGGACCTGAACAATGCCAGGTAAGTCTTCTACAGGTTGAACCTCCATGCTTAGGCAACCTCAGGACCCAACTGGTCCCAGACCAGGGAATTTGCCAGACCAAGGGAGGTCAATGCAACAGAGATTCAGATTTTCCTCCTTGGCTGCCCTAGTTTCAGGGGAGGCTCTGCTTCCTCACCACATACACACTGCCCTGCTGCCATCGGGCGATGTGCTTTTGCTTCACAACTTTACTGCGTGGGGGGTGGGGCCTCTGTGCTCCCACAAAGGCTGCACTGCCACCCAGAGTTCTGTATTCTGCTACCACCAGGAGCTCTGCCCAGAATCCCTGCTGCTGCCCAGACTGCGCTCTGCTGCCACCCAGGGATAATACACTGCACGATTATTTCGGAATAAGCTATTTCAGAAGAAATACTCCAAAATACCTTATTTTGAAATAGCATATCTACACTACAGGGACACCTGGAAATTAGTCCAAGGAAAGCTCCACTAATGTGGATGCACTACCTTGATTTAGAGCCCCAGGAGGCACTAGGGAGTAATTAGTTTGAATGGCCAGCGGGAGGAGCTATTTCAAAATAGCAGCAGTGAAGCGTCCACACTACGGCTACGTCTACATTGGCCCCTTTTCCAAAAGGGGCATGTTAATTTCACAGGTCGTAATAGGGAAATCTGCGGGAGATTTAAATATCCCCCGCGGCATTTAAATAAAAATGTCCGCCGCTTTTTTCCGGCTTTTAGAAAAGCCGGAAAAGAGCGTCTACACTGGCCCCGATCCTCCGGAAAAAGCGCCCTTTTCCGGAGGATCTCTTATTCCTACTACAGGGGGCCAGGGCTAGAGGGGGACTCTGGCTGGGGGGAGAGAAGCGACCCAGGGCGGGGCCGCGGAACCCGTGAGCGGGGGAGTTTAGGGTTCCCAGACCCCCCCCCCCCCCCGCGTGGGGTGGTGTCCTGACTCTAGGGCCCTGGGTCGGGGTCCAGAGCAAGGGCGGGGCCGGACCTTCTCCCCCCCCCCCAACCAGCTGGATAGGCTGCTGCGTGGCCTGGGCCTTAGGCGGCGCAATGAGACCAGGCACAACTGGTATCCTATTGGGACAAGAGGGGCGCACAGGGAGGAGACGTGGCAAGGGGAGGGGGGTCTTCCCCCCCGTCTACTGGGGTGTCCTACACCCCCTAAACAGGGACTGTTGCTACCCCACTGCTTTCGCAAAAGCAGCAGCACAGGGCAACAGGCAGCCAGTCTGCAAGGGTATGTCTAGACTACATGGCTCCATTGAAGGAGCCATGTAAACTAGTTTACCTGGCATAGGCAAAGAAGCGGGGATTTAAATAATCCCCGCTTCATTAAAATAAACATGGCCACCGCGCTGTGCCGACAATCAGCTGATCCGGCACAGCGCAGCAGTCTAGATACAGATCCGTCGGCTGGGGAAGCCTTTGCCAACCGATCCTGTGAGCCTCGTTTCACGAGGCATAAGGGATCGGTCAGCAAAGCCTTCCCCAGCAGACCGATCCATGTCTGATTGCTTATTAATATTCCTTTTTAGGGGAGTTAACATTACTAAATAATGTTTTAGGAAAAGTAGTGATAGACGTGTGAATTAAAACATACTAAAACAGATAAAAGGTTCTAACTACTGCTAATTTGTTGCCACTCGGATGTTGTGTTGAATGTCCGAGGTAAACATGCATAGGCAATAAACATGCAGTGCCTTTTACCCATCCGCTCCTGGGTCACCTGCTTCTTCTCTAACAGTCACCAAAAGGCAGGTTTTGGTGACAAAACATGTCCGTGTAGACAAGCCCTAAAACAAGTAGAATCTGGACATTAGTATTAGTGATAATGTTCAAATATGGCACATAGATCAGCTTTTCACCTCCAACGTTCATGTTTATTTTTCTTTCACTCACTCTGTTATGATTTAAGTGTTATTTTTGTGATTACGCTCAGGTATTATTTTAGAATAATATTAACAGTGAAGCATTTTACAGGATGCTAATATCCAAAATATAGGTATTACAAGGAAGTAGATAATGTGAAATAAATAAATACCATCTTAAAAATTGCAACATTGCCCAAAAAAATCAGTGTTTCATGTTAATTGTTGCTTATGTTAAAACTCAAAGGGTCTGATTTTTCCACTACTGTGTTGAGTAATTTTGTATTGACTGCCAATTTTGCCACCTTCCCGTGTACCTCATTTTCCAGATCATTTATGAATATGTTGAAGGGCCTGTTCTCAATGCAGACCCTGGAGAATACTGCTATTTACCGGTCTCCATTCTGAAAGCTGGCCACTTATTCCTACTCTTTGTTTTCAGGCTTTTATCCAGTAACTTATCCTGGAAATACACTTTCGGACATTTAGAAAAAAAATTTAACAGTTTAAACTGATCTCAGTCATTTTTGTTGGTCAAAATGACAGTTTCCTAACTGGAAATGTTATAGTGCACTTAAGTCTAGAGAATGTGTAGGAATTTAGAGGACTCTACTTTCAGGAAGTGCTTTCTGATAAAGTATAGTATATTCAGAAGAAGGAATAAACCCTGAGGCTACGACTAGACTGCAGGCTTCTTTCGGAAGAAGTTTTTCAGGAAGAGCCCTTCTGAAAAAACTTCTTCCAAAAGAGAGCATCCACTCTGCCAAAATGCATTGAAAAAGCGATCTACTTTTTCGAAAGATAGTGTCCACACTGAATGGACGCTATCTCGCATTTAAGATGCAATTACTATGGATGGAGTGGCCACCAGGGCATCTTTGCTTTTAACTCTTTCCTCTTCTTTCAAAAAAGAAAGCATCCACACACGCCTTTTTCTGAAAGAGCGCTTTCGGAAAAGGCATTCTTCCTCATAGAATGAGGTTTACCAATGATGGGAAAACCCCTGCGTTCTTTCAATTTTCTTTCAAAAGAACACAATAGCAGTGTGGACATAAATGAAGTTTTTTCAGAAAAATGGCCATTTTTCAGAAAGAAAAAAAAAACCCAGCAGTCTAGACATACCCTTAGTCACTAACCAGTGCAAATTACCAAATCAGAACCCTCCAATTATTTACACTTGTTTACACCTACTGCGCATAGGTATAAATGATTACAGAATGTGCAAGGTAATGGAGAATCAGGCCTAAAATATCTAATTTAGAAATACACATTACTATTTGTCATTCAGGGTTCAGAGATTATTATTTAATGCCATGAGTTCTTTATTCTGAAAGAAGCATATATGCACAGTACATGGTTATATATTTAATACTGACAGAAGAGCCATCTGATTGTATACCCATGAAGAACACAGGAAACTGATCTAAAACACTGGACCACTTTACACATATGTGTTACTTTTACTAATACTGAATAAAGGTAATGCCTGGCCAGCTAAAAAAATGTTTCCACCTAAAATACTTATACAAAGTAAACAGACCAGTATTACAAGCCACATAACTGAACAACATTCAAATAAGCATGAACAGGCACAAAATACAAACAATAAGATATAACCATGGACTAAATATATTGCACTGCTGAGCAGACGATTCCATGCTCTCATGTATCTTGGGCACACACTTCATATTTCATAGTTCCTGAACTTCCTGAGAAGCTCTGAAGGGGCATCACCTGACCAGCGGAAACGCAAGTGCCAGCAATTTGCATCTAAAAATCCTATGAAAAATGTGGTGAAGAAATTAATTATTAAAACAAAATTAAACTGACTAAGCTAAAGTATACAATGGTGTTATAGCCATTTCAGTCTGAAGATTTGAGAGAGAAAATGTGGGTAAGATAATTTTTATTGGTTTCTCTCGCAGAAACAGAAGTTGGTCCAATAAAATATATTACCTCACGCACTTAGACAAAAGTAGGTGTTAGTTATTGTGACTGAAATATAAGTAAAATACTGGAATATGTAGTCATCTTAGCAGTGCTGTAAGCATACAAGTGACCAACTCAATGAGTGATCACATTAATTGTACTCACTGTTCTAAAAATCTAGCCACCATGTTCTCTGTCTAATATTCTTATAGGTGCACACCGAGTAATAAGACAATTGCAGATGTACAGAAAAGTAAGGGAATGGGAATTATTGAAAAAAAATGTAGTCACCCATTTCTTATTCAGTTCACCTTTTAAGTGAACATCACACTCAAACAAAACTCCCATTTAATTAGATGGTAATTTTCCATGAATAAAAACTTCAGTATCAGGTATAAAGCCTAGACATTGAATTCTGTCACATCACTGGTTCCACTCACTTGGAGAGTCAGGGCTCTTTGGCAATTGTGGCTTCTCATCAGTAATCTCAGCATCATCTTGTTCCCATCTCTCATCTGATAAACCATCTTTATTGTTTTCAGTCTGTTGGGCCCAAATGTCATTAGTTACGTTGTTGCTATTATTTAGCTCAGGTGCTTCCAGCATTGCTTCTTTTTTACTTCTGACAGCCCAGTGCATTGACTAAATAAATTAAAAAATAACAATGGATAAATCTAAATTGTATATTAGATTTTAAACATAGCACATGCCAGTTTTCTACTTTAAAAGATCCAGTATGCAGTTACACAGGTTTGGTTTTTTAACTAACAGAAGTACGCACTAGAATCCTATAAAAAGGCTTTCTGGAAATTACAGTACAGTAGGATAATGAAACTGAATTTTCAAATTAATAGTTGAGTAGTTGGACAATGTTAATCTATAATTAATTCTGGGTGGGGATAAAAGTGCTCAAGCAGAGATGCAGAAAATAATACTAAGGTATTAACATTTTTACCCATCTGGGTAAAAGTAATGACCTGGGGTAAATTTTTCATGAGCACCTATGACACTTAGAACTCTTAGTCCTATTTTCAAAAGTGCGTTGGGCATTTCAGAGCTTAGTCCTTTTGAAAATGGGACTTAGGCATTTCTGGAAGCGTTAGGTGGGTATAACTCATGCTGCAGTCAACAGAAATACTCCTATTGAATCAAGCTTGGAGGGACTGATCCTACAATCCTTATATATTTATGTATAGTGATTTGTAGGCAAATGATCTCATACATAGTTCCACAAAATTTGTTTGTGAGACAATTTGTGTATTCATACCTAAAAAGGCCCAGTAATGCACAGTACCATATACCCTCCATTCACATTCACTTTATCTGTACTGAGGGTGATCATGACATCGTGTGACTGGGACCTAGCCGAGGTATTAAAAAAAACTCCCCCCAGCAAAATTAGTGCAAAAATCTTGAGACTGTCTGTCTGCAAAGCACCTAGCATATCAATAGCTTTATATACATACACTTATTGAAGCATACATAATATTAAATAAGTTTGTGTGTGCCTCAACTTACAAAGAAAAATTAAAGTTTCATAAATACAGTATTCTTTAGTGCAAAAGGAGGGAGTGTCAATATAAGATCTTAATGGTGATATTTTGCTCTTCAGCTTCAAGAAAAGCAAAGCATAGGAAAAAGAATACCAGGTGAAATCCTAGATCCATGGAAGTCAATTGCAAAATTCCTTCCTTATGGTGGATCTAAATTCGGGGGGGGGGAGGAGGTTCTGCCCCTTTCAGACACTCCACTGAGACTCTGATGGATGATTAGGTAACTTGGTCTGTTTTTCTGAGCAACTTATCTTCCTTTGATGAATCTGAATTACAACTCCTGACACCCTGTGTGGCAATATGGTGCTTCAAGAGCAGGGGCAAATGACTGTTTTGCGGGGCCCCGGGCAGCATAACTCCGTGGGTCCCCCCCCTTTGCCTCGGCGCATGCGCAGGGCTTTTTAAGCGCGGGGCCCGAGATTTTAAGCGCGGGGCCCGGGATGGCCGCCCCGTTCGTCCTGCTCTATATCCGCCCCTGTTCAAGAGCTTAAACATCTTTGGGAGTTGTAGTGCAGCTTCATTCCAGCAAGATCAATGAGCAAGAGGATACCACACCAATCCAGCAGTGTTTTCTGCAACATCTTACATGAGGCACAGGGTTCCAACAGAATATTTTTCAGATTTCCATCAGACCTGTAGACAATTCTGATAAACATTGTGTTCAAGGATTAGAAATTAATAATCAGACCTAGAAAATAGATACATGTTTTCCACAGCACCGCACAATAAACTGAAATTGTTACTTGAAAAACATCCAGGGACTTACTAAAGCCAAGTCTAATGCACACAGAAATGAAGCTGTGACAAGTTCACTCTACACAGACTGGCCTACACAAACACAGTGAAGGGTTTTCATTAACCATCTGATTTTATTTGAATTTCCTTATAAGTCATTCTAATGCTATTTCCATCCCCAAAGGCCATTGCTGCAGAATTCTTTAGAGATTTAAAACAAAGCAGCTGCTAAGCGCCATTTCCAGGAAGACCAAACAACTGTCACTAATATTTACCATCTGTCAGCTAGTCAGGCTGGCAGCAAGAGGCTTCAAAGTATACACTCACAACTCAGCACCCTGCTCCTTAGATAAGTTTGTCTAGGGGTACATCTAGACTACATGCCTCTGATGACAGAGGCATGTAGATTAGACTACCCGGCATAGGAAAATAAAGCGGTAAATAATCGCCGCTTCATTTAAATTTACATGGCTGCCGCACTGAGCCGATCAGCTGTTTGTCGGCTCTGCGCGGTAGTCTGGACGTTCCGCGGTCGACATCAAAGGCATTTGTCGACCTCCCAGGTATCCCAGGTATGGGCATACCTGGGAGGTCGACAAATGCCTTTGATGTCGACTGCGGAACGTCCAGACTACCGCGCAGAGCCGACAAACAGCTGATCGGCTCAGCGCGGCAGCCATGTAAATTTAAATGAAGTGGCGATTATTTAAATCACCGTTTCATTTTTCTATGCCGGGTAGTCTAATCTACATGCCTCTGTCGCCAGAGGCATGTAGTCTAGACGTACCCTAGGTTTACCAAAGAAAGGATGGCTACGTCTACACTGGCGCGTTCTCACGCAAAAACTCTTTTGCGGAAGCAGGGGCGGATGAGAGTGCCGTGGGGCCCCGGGCAGCACAATTTTGCGGGGGCCCCCCCCTTTGACACGGCGCATGCGCGGGGCTTCTGCAAGCGCGGGGCCCGGGGCAGCCGCCTGCTCACCCTGCCCCAAATCCAGAAGAGAGCGTCTACACTGGCATGTGCTTTTGCACAAGAGATGTGCTTTTGCACAAGAGCATCGATACCATTGTAGACGCACTCTTGCGCAAGAAAGCTCTGATGGCCATTTTAACCATAGGGCTTTCTTGCTCAATAAATTCATGTTGCCTGTCTACACTGGCCTCTTGTGCAAGAACAGTTGCGCAAAAGGGCTTATTCCTGAGCGGGAGCGTCAGAGTTCTGGCACAAGAAGCCCTGATTTCATACATTAGAATGTCAGTTTACTTGCGCAAAAACACGCAGACAGTGTAGACAGGCAGCAAGTTTTTGCACAAGATTGCGCCAGTGTAGACGCAGCTGATGTGTTTTAGCTGCCAGCAATGTGGATGTCTGCGGGGGAGAGGGGAAATATTAGCTGACTTTTTCTCTATCAAACTGCCCCCAGCAAGATGACCTAAGGGTGCACTGGAAGCAGCTGCCACAGAGATATGATACTAGTTATCTAAACAGACAAAGGAAGGGACAAAGCAACATCATATTAAGGGAAATCCTGCAGACCATATTTGAACCTACCATTACATAGTAGCAAAGTACAGCAAAACAGTTTAGAGTTTGCTCAGAAGCCTAAAGAGCTTCACTAGAAAATATTAGCAAACTAAGAATATTCCATTGTCAGGAGACTACTATTTCAGTCTATTAATTTACACAGAGCACCTAACAATATTGTTCCACAACACACACAGATACATTCCTATGGAAACTAGATTACCATACGTTCTTCAAATGGACCCTCCTAAAGTTAAATAAAGTATGACAAAAAGTCAGATACCTTCTGGAAAGTAACAACAAATGGTCTGGTAGTACTTTAAAGACTAAAGGGAATCAGTAAGTATCTGAAGACTGGGTAGTTAAAATGAAGCATGTATCTTCAGATACTTACTGATTCCCTCTAGCTCCCTGTCTCCACCCTCCTTTTTTCCCCTCCCCTTCCCCTCTCCTATTTATTTTGGGTCTGCACATCCTAAACTCATAACTCCGGTAATCTGAAGAAGTGGGCTGTGCCCATGAAAGCTCATGATACCATCTACATGTTTTGTTAGTCGATAAAATGCTACCAAACCCTTTGTTATTTTTTTCTGTAACAGACTAACTTGACTACCCCCTGAAGCTTCTGGAAAGTGTTTGGCTTCCGTTTGCTAAGAGAAAAAAAAATCACAAAACCAGGAAGTTCTTTAAGAGTGAATCTATTGTTCTTACCTATTTTATACTTGAAGCAATATTGCTCTGCTTTGACGTAGCTATTAGGGAAATTATCACAGAGAACGAGGGTGGTGATTTAATTTTTTTTATGTTGAGATTTTAATGTGTGTGTTTTGGGGAATTCTCTCCTTTATTTTCAATGAGAAAGAGATTTCCAAAATGTATTCATTTTAAAACTGCCATGTCTGGATTGCCAACAAAATACAAACCACATGGTGTCAGAAAAATTGGGACATCTGCAGGAAAGCATAAATATGGGGCTGTCCCTTTAAAACCAGGATGTCTGGTTACCCTAAACATCAACAGTCTATTTAGTAAAAATGTCCATATGCTGTGAAGAATTTTAGTCCATTTGTAAAGATGGAAATATGCTACTAGTCAAATTCGTTTCGATTCTCCCTAATCATGTTATTCTGTTGCCATTAAATATTCTTCCTTGTTTAACCAAAAAAGGCTGGTAACAGTTGGCATATCTCAACTATTTTAATATCTTTCATCAAGGAGGTGCTGAGGGGGTTGACAGAACCATAGTAATGTTTGTAGAAAGAAGCCTTTCAAGGACCAATGAAGTTGTTACATTAAGAAAATGCAGCACAAGCCTGGAGAATAATTTGGAATGGTTGCCCTTAAAAATCATGGCATTTACCTCTTTATCATAATTTGCACTGTTTCTTTTAGATCATGCAGTAATAGAGTCTGTTGTTGAGATATGTTCATGTGTCTGCATCTCATTTTATCTCCATCTTCCAAATCATGTATTCTTCACAATCCTTGCAAGGATAATGCTATGGCAAACCCTCAGCATTGCACATTTTTTTATACTTTGCAGTTGATGACTGTAAGACATCTTTTGACATTTAGAGACTTGTAAATTATGCTGGAAAGATCTCCCACACTGAATAAGTCCATTTTATTTGAAGATACACAATGTTTAAAAAGTTTCACTCACTATACAAAAATAAACCTTAACGTACACCTACACTATTGTAATTGTACGTTATGTGATCATAAATGAATGCTATCTACTGCTACTATAAACCATTATACTTCTACCTGTTTTCCTATCCTGAATTACAGGAAGATGATTTAAAAAAATCAAGTATAGCTACACATTAATAAAGTTGGTGGAAAAAAAATCTAAGGTGCCTGATCACAACAAATAGATACTTGGGTATCTACTGAAAGACAAAATATGAAAACTTTTGAATAGTGTGGTTTGCTCAGACATAATTAGAATCTTTCAGACAATTTATCTTCAGGGAGTAGATCTTCTCAAAATGAATTGTAATACTCAGTATTCAGGGAAGTAGTGATATCAACAGAATTAATACATAGCAATGACTCACTCATTTTCACAAGCATAAATAAAAAATATAAATCAACAGCAGTAAATATGAACTAGAAAATGAATGCAAATGTGTTCTGAAAAATAAAGAAATGACCATAAAGGATCATTCAAAAAGCTTATGAACTAGAAAAATATTAATTAAAATTTTTTTTTCATTATTATTTATTAGGTCAGAATCTATCAATTGTTAGGAAAAACAACTACAGGTTGAACTTCTGTCATCTGGGACTTGGATGTTGCTGGACTAGAGAGCCCCAGCACAGAAGCTGCCAGCAGCGGGAAACAGAGCCAGCTGATGGGGCCAGCAGGGCAACGGAGCCCACAGGGCACCAGAGCCTGCAAGAGGCCAAGCTGGCAAGGGCAGCAGAGCTCTCAGCCAGCAGGGCCGCCGGAGTCTGTAGGGGTGAGGGGTGCTGAGCCTGCAGCAAGCAGGATGGGGAGGTCTAACATGTAATTATATGGAAATATTCAGGTATTTCCAGTTTGTCACACTAAATCCTCACAGACAATAGGAAAGAAACATAATTTCAGATATACAAAATTATATTTTTCTAGTCAATATTTTTATTAAAGGAATTACTGAAGATTTGTTTTCCCAGGGTGAAATCCTGGCCCCACTGAAGTAAAAGAGAGTATGCCACTGACTTCAATGAAGCCAGGATTCGCTCCCAGTAATCCTTCTGAAAAGTAACTTAAAATATACCATGCGCCTTTTACTATAGGCTAATAACTAGGATCACATAGCCACTTTCAACCTCAAATAAATTATTTTAAATTAAAAAGTTTTGAAATATTGAGAATTTTGCTATGGGATTGGACAGAAATATGAGATAAAATCTATACTGTCCTTGAGAACAAAAACAGCTATTAAAGTTTCATTGTGTATGTGTTCTTACATGTTTATATCATCTAACTGCCTTCCAATTTGGTATTTGTTTTTTTTAATGGATTCAAGAACATTTTTTCTGCACTCTTGTTACCTGTTGCTATGCAGCAATATTGAGGGAGTATTTTTGGTCACATACTATTCTAATTAGTGTCTGTTCTGCCATCAGATTAACACTGGCAAACTGATTATACACAATTGAAGGCTGATATAATGAATATTCTTTAATCTCTGACCCATCCTGCCTCACCAGTGGGAAAATATCCCTTTCCACAAACCTAACTAATTTCCTAATGCTAATGAATACGCAGGGAATTTAGATAAACAAAAAACAACCGTTTTTATGGAGTTGCTCAGAGCCTCCCACTGATGGAATGGAATGGAAATTTTGCTTCGTCGCCAGTAATCATAACGAGCTCGACTCTCTTCATTAATAAGAATCTCCTTAGCCTGCTGCAGCTTCTGAAAGTTCTCCACTAGAACACAAACCAAAAGGATGTTACATCAAATACTTACTTTTAAAGCAATTAATTCCCTTTTGGAACAGGAATGGCCAATAAAAGCTAAGTCTCAGAGAGCTGGCCGTGTTAGTCTGTATCTGCAAAAGCAACAAAGAGTTCTGTGGCATCTTAAGGCCTAACAGATTTATTTGAGCATAAGCTTTCATTGATAAAACCTATGACTGCATCTGATAACGTAGGTTTTATCCACAAAAGCTTATGCCCAAATAAATCTGTTAGTCCTTAAGGTGCCACAAAACTTCTCATTGTTTTTTCAATAATAGCTAAGGGTACGTCTAGACTACAGGGTTTTGTCGACAGAAGTTTTGTCGACAGATACTGTTGACAAATCTTCTGTCGACAAAGAGCGTCTACACTACATTCAGTTCTATCGACAAAGCAAGCTGCTTTGTCGACATGGCAGTGTAGACGCAAGGACAGTTTACATGCAATAACACCTTCTGTCGACAGAACTCTGTCGACAGAAGGCGTTATGCCTCGTAAAATGAGGTTTACCAGCGTCGACAAAACTGCTGAGTTCTGTAGACGTTATGTCGACAGAACTCAGCGGTAGTGTAGACGCAGGTATAGTTTTGTCGACAAAAGTCCACTTTTGACGACAAAACTCTGTAGTCTAGACACACCCTAAGTAACATCAACACAAAATGGGGCAGAAAAAGCTAACACCTTTCATAGACAACTTATGTCCTCTTTCCGATGAATCATTTAATGCAAACTGGATCCTTCTTGTCTCTTGGTTTAGATGCTTTACAAACTTGAAGGCCATTGAAATTATGTGGTAATCAAAGCAAAACACATCAGATTCTGCCACATTTAAAAACTAACATTGCAGTAGCACAGAGGGTGGGCAAAATATGGCCCACAGGCCAAATTTGGCCCACTAAGCCACCAGATCTGGCCCATAGCCCAGTTGAATACTTGACTGTATGAATAAGACCTCTTATTTTTCTTCTCCAACTAAACTAAGAGAACAAATGAATACGCATTTTTATGCATTAACTGAAATGGAACATTTTATTGAATTATTCTGCATTTTTTTCTAAGGGATTTAAGAACTCAGCAGCCTAGCTGAGAAAATCTTAAACTGGGAGAGTAGGTCCTGCTTCGACTCTCCTTACCCATATGGGCTGTATTTTCAAAGGAATTAGGGAACCTGAATTTCAAAAGGATTTGGGTATCTAATTTCCTTAAACTATTTTGAAAATCCCAGTCATCATGTAGTCCCTTACTCTAAGAATAGTCACACTGATTTCAATATGAGAAGTATGGGGAAGAATCACTCTCAACGTTTTTGGATGGAATATCAGAAACATGCATCACAGAGAACTATATTGTTATAACTGGTTTAATACAAATGTGTCCAATATTAAGTGTTGCACTCTATCATTAAATTAATCTGTTTTGGGAGTTTTTCCAAGTACAGTGCCGTAATTTCCATAATCTGAGCCAACTACATTCACTAATTTAGTGTCCAACACCACATTTGACGACACAGAGAAACTTAATAAAGAGTAGAGAATGATTGCCTTCAATATACTATTTATTTTTTTCTGTGCATTTTGTATAGACATTAAGGCCAGAGGAGACATGCAAATGTTTGTGGTCATTGATGACAGTGACTCTACTGGTTATGGATAGATAAACCTGTTTCAGAGTACAGGCAGTCCCCGACTTATGTCGGATCCGCAGTTACGAATGGGGCCCTCTCCCTGGTCTCCAGCAGACCAGGGAGAGGAAGCAAAGCGGCGGAGCACGCGGGCAGCGGACAACCCAGACGCGCGTCTGGGCTGTCT